GGAGTTCAACCTGCTCATCGAGCTCCCATCGAAGAGCCGCTGACGCGCCTGCTGGACAGCTTTCCTCGCCTCCCTCCCTCTTCTCGAACTTCTGCATCTCAGGGGACGACATGACGCCGAAGACGCCCCCTCCTGCTAGCAGCCTCATCTCCTGCTGCACGTTCATGCCGTCGTTGGAGCAGGCAGCGTCTGTCCCCAGGGCGATCTTGAAGCCAGCAGCATCCCACGCCTGGCCCAACTTCACGCCTCTACCACCACCACCACCTCCTCCTCATATTTCTCCACCACCTCCTCCACATTTCTACTCCTCCTGTCGTCTTATGACCTGAAAGTTGCAGGGGAAGCCGAACTGTACGGCAGAGGCAGGGCAGAGCCCCTGAGGAGGAGCTCAGAAGCAGCAGGCAGACGTGAGCTAACGATCGCATCACCAGCATGTGCCTCCCTGGGTCCAGGAACGCGAGGTCACGGGAGGAGACAAACATGCTGTGGACGAGGAGCATGGAGACATCTGCGTCGAGGACCCCTGCTGCTGCAGAAACTTGACGGGGAGCACCCGTGGCGATCGATGCACCTCCTGTACTCCTGGAGCACGAGGGGCTGTGAGCGAAGAAGAGCGCGAGGGAATGTCGAGCTGGGAGCTGGGAGCTCGGGGAGAGGTGGTAATGGGGAATGAGGAGGAGGGAGGAGGAGGAGGTGAGGAGGAGGAGGAGGTGAGGAGGAGGAGGAGGAGGTGAGGAGGAGGAGGAGGAGGTGAGGAGGAGGAGGAGCAAGAGGAGGAGGATCAAAAGGAGGATGAGGAGTTGGGAGGAGGAGGGGAGGTAGAAGAGGAGGGGAGCTGAAGGAGGGAGCAGGAGCATGGAGGTGGCAGGGCAACCTCGATGGACTGTGCGACGTGCGAGTGCATAGGGAGCTGCTCCTGCTGAGCGGTGCTTGCGATCTTGCGCAGCGTCAGAAGTCGGCAGGTGAGGATTTGGCAGCATAAAGACCTTCCTCCACAGTGACGGGCTGATGGTATCGGTAGCATGCGGACCGAGGGCTGCGAAGATTCCCTTCCTCTGTAAGCTCTCGTCCTGCCCCTTCCGGTCATCCCAAGGGTTTCCAGCGCACAGCAACGACAACTCCTCGCACGCACACCAACAGGCAGGACAGGGGGCAAGGGCACATGTAGGACAGACATACCCTGTGCATTCTGATCGTTGTTTCGATGGCTGCCTCCCAGTCGCATCCCTTCAAGACAGTCCCTGGACCACTGAGATCCTTCAGGACAGTCAGCTGCATGCTCGTCCTTTCCTTCACGCTTGCCTGTATTGTCGGCGCTATCACACCACTGAACCCTGTGTCTGCAAAGGCTCTGCAAGCATGTAAGGAGGAAGGAGGGAGGGAGAGCAGGCGTACGAAGCAAGCGCCTCCCCGAAGTAGTAGTGCTCCCACGCTGCTCCCACACCCGCCAGCATGCTTTCCCAGCAGCCCATGCGAGTGAAGGCTCGGACGTCGTCCTCCGTGAGAGCTCTGCGGACGATTCAGTCCCATCCACCGCCACCACCTCTTCCTCGTCCTCTCCTTCTGCTCTTGCTTCAACGCCCTCCTCCTCCTCCTCCTCCTCCTCCTCCTCCTCCTCCTCCTCCTCCTTCTCCCCCTTCTCCTTCTTCTCCTCCTCTTCCTCCTTCACCCCTCAAGCTTGAAGAAGAGATCCTCGACCACGTTGCCCTTGAACGACTCAGCGTCGGTGATGCCGCGGAAGGCGCCCATGGCAAGGTGAGTGTGCCCGTTGACCATGGCGGGAAGAAGAAGTTGGTTGGGCTGGAGGACGAGGGTTCCCTCCGATGCACCAGCCTTGCGCAGCCGCTCGATCTCCAAGCATGAAGTCTTGTTGATGGACTCGATGCGCCCGTTCTTGATGCTGAGCAAGGCCGGTTGGAACACTCCTGTTATGTACGCCCTCTCGGAGGCTATGACGGAATCATGATCTTGAGCCACGGAGGAGCAAGACAACGCAAGGTTCTTCCTTCTTGATACCTGTAGACACGTTGATACTCTCATGAACATACCTTGAATCTCACCTCATGCTTGAACAACTTTCCCTTGCGGATCCCGAGCGAGGAGGGAGGGGCGAAGGAGCAGGTCAGTGGGAGGCATGCGAGAAGCAGCAGCAATGCTGTGTTGCTGCGAACCCCTTCCATCATCGACATGCTTCAAGCATGTAAACACTTGTTCAACTGCAAGACTTGAAGTGAGTACTTCGAATCCTTCGCTCTCACAGTACAGTCGTTCCTCCTCCCTTCCTCCTCCAACCCCCCGCCCCCCGCCCCCCCCCTCGCTCCCCTCGCTCCCTTGCCTTCTCTTCTTCCTCCCAGTGGACCTCCCACTACATTCCCCTTCTCCCCCTCCCCAGCTCCCCCTCCCCGCCCGCCCGCCTCCCTCCCCCTGTCCCCTCCTCCATTCCTCTTATATATATTCCAACTGCTGCCTCCCCGACTTCAATTTCAGTCTTCCCTGCCCCCCGCCTTTCTCTCCCCCTCCCCGCCCCCCCCTCCAACTCTCCCCCCCCTTCTCTCTCATGCTCTCAGTCTCTTCTCCATGAACATTCCTTCGCTTCTCTCGCAGCTCGAGCATGCCACGACGTCGGACAAGAAGGCAAGAGCTATCCAACACTACCTCAACAACCACAACCACCACTACGTCCTCCTCATCCTCCTCCTCATCATCATCATCACCACCACCACCACCACCACCACCACCACCTCCTCCTCCTCCTCCTCCTCCTCCTCCTCCTCCTCCTCCTCCTCCTCCTCCTCCTCCTCTTCCTCCGCTGACCCCCTCATCCTGCAGACGCTCGTCATCGAGCAGCTCTCATCTTCCATCCCTGCAGGCGGTACATACTTCAGGGCCAAGTGAGCAGCGCCATGGCTCCCACGCCGACCTGACTTCCTCCTCCAGGTATGGCATGGTCGAGAGCGAAGCTGGCATGCTGCGCCAGTGGCAGCGCGATGCATGGCTCCTGCATGATGTTGTGCGCGTCGTCTGCGAGTGAGTCTGCCCCTGCTCCTGCTCCTGCTCCTGCTCCTGCTCCTGCTCATGCTCCTGCTCCTCCTGCTCCTGCTCCTGCTCCTGCTCCTGCTCCTGCTCCTGCTCCTGCTCCTGCTCCTGCTCCTGCTCCTGCTTCTCTTCCTGCGGCTATTCTCATGTCGTGTCAGTCTGTTCACAAACGAGGAATCTTTCACCGTGAAGTTCGCGGCGCTGGAGGCCCTCCGCAGGTAGGAGGAGCAGCTGCTGACGCTCCCTCACTCGCTCTCGCCAGGCTGAGACCGAGGGGCGATGAGACGGCCAAGGAAGCTCTGCTCTCTTTCTTCGGTGAGAAGCGAAACTTCTTCGGCCACAAGATCGAGGCAAAGCACAGCCTGGCGGAGAAGGCCCTGGAGGTGCTCGCTCCACAAATTCTTGCTCCACCTCTTACCTCGTTCTCGTCCTCATCGTCTTCCTCCTCTCTCCCTCCTCCTCCTCCTCTGCAGCTCATTCCCTCCCTTCCTCTCATCCTCTCCCGGTCTCCCTCTTTCCTTCCTCCCTCTGCTTGATTCCAATCCCCCTCCCCCCTCTCGCTCCTGGTGACGGTTCCTCATCGCAGGTGCTCACAAGCATCTGCGACTGGTCCGACGTCCACGTCCTCTTCCGCCTCTCAGTCCTCCTGCGCGTAGGCTCCTGTTGCGAGGAGGTCGAGGGCGCGATGCTGGCTGGCAGCGTCTCCTGACTGGCGGGCAGATGTGGATAGCAGACAGGGTAGACCTGCTCAGGTCCTGCCTGCGAGATGAGGGGAGCGGAAATGAAGTTCCTCCTGCACTTACCCGAGAGCTTCTCAAGGTGGACGTGAAGCTTTCTACAGGCAAGGAGGGAGGAGGAGGTTCTGAGAGGGCGGGTGATGATGCGGAGCAGGGAGAATTGTGAGGAGGCTGAGGAAAGAGTTCATCGAGGTGGAGGGGGTGGAGCTGCACAGCTGCAAGGACTGTATGCTCTTGTTGTCCAACCCGCTCGAGGAGGAGGAAGCGGCGTTGATGCGGGATGGTCTACATTATTTCGGGCCTTGCGCCAAGGCAAACTCTGTCTTCTCGCAAGCACGGGAGATTGTCGACGATGTGCCTTTGGAGAGCCTGTGCTGTGATGTCAAGGTGGAGGACGAGGTCATGGATTATGACCCGATGCAGACAGGTCAGTTGGACTTCGACTGAGTGAAGATGGGGGAGGGGAGGGGAGGGGAGGGGAGGGGAGGAAGGGAGGGGGCTCATGTTTAACGGTTTGTGGACTTGACGTTTCCGCGTCTTGACGGGATCTTCATGCAGGGGCCCCTCGTGGGTTTAAGTTGACCATCTCTAGCGAGACAGGAGTGGTGGAGGAGGCGATCGGACGGGCCGTGTATCACCCTCGCTTCTCCAACCTTGTCCTCCCGCTGCAAGAGCTGATGAGTGACGAGAAGGTCTGTCCCTCTTCCTCCTCTCCCTCTACGTCATCCTATCATGCTCGTGCCCCTTGTTCTTGTCATCTTGTACCTCTCTCTTCACGACCCCTACAACGCCGTCCTCTCATCTCCTTCCTCCTTCTCCCCTTCCCTGAAATACCACAGGGCCTCCAATCGCCCGTCCTGATGCAGCTCTACACGTGGGGAGGCGCTGAGCTCGGAGAAGCCATGTACGACGTCAAGAACCGCGTCTATCGCTCCTCCTGGCACCCTCCTCTCTCCTTGCGCTGGGAGCCCGTGGGAGGCGTCGTGCTGAGCACCGAGTTTCTGCTGCGAGAGCGGAAGGAGGAGGAGGTGGTGCTGGTGCTGGAGAACGACGTGGAGCTGACTTGGGAGCATCGGCACCGTGTCTTCCGAGACTGGAGATCGCAGCAGCATCAGAGCGTGAGGGAGGAGAAGAGAAGGGAGGAAGAGGAGGAGGGAGGGAGGAGGAGGGAGATACACGAGGGGAGAGAGGAGGATAGGGACGGGGGGGGCGGGAGGAAGGACGAAGCTGCGATAGAGTATTCTAAGATGGACTCCGCGGGTTGGAAGAGGGGGTCGAGCTGTAAAGTCACGCTGGTGGGTCTGCGGGTGACGAGAGGAAAGAGGCTGTTTCTTAACGCTCCTCTCCAACCTCCTCCTGACCTCGGACAGAGTTTCTTCCTCATCGCAGAGAACTCCCTGCTGCAAAAGGGGCTCGACCGCTTCCTCCGGGACCTTCAGAGCAGGCAGCAGGAGGGGAAGATGGAGGAGGAAAACGTGGAGCACATGCGGGCTACGTGGAGGGCGGAGAGCTGTATCGTCCAGCCGAGGGGGAGGGTCGACCCGGGGAAGAGCAGGGGGATCCTGTTCCAGCTGCCCTGCAGCAGCGTGGAAGAGGGGTGCATCCGGGCGGCGATAAGAGGAGCAGCGGAGTTTGAGTACAGTCAGTTCAAGCGCTGCAGCGCTAAGATGAGGAGGCTGGTAGCAAGGTTGCTGATCAAGATCATGAATCCGAACCATCACGTCCTCCGGCACGTCGTTGATCGTTACCTTCAGCACGTGGAGAAGGAGGGGAGGGTGAGTGAAAGCTTGCCGTGGAAGGTGGTGAAAGCAGCATGCCTTGCCGGGCTCAACGACCTGTGCGTCTACAACAGGGATCGGATGTACGACGGGAAGGAAGGGACTGTTGGCGTGCAGCTGGTATGGAAGGGCCTTGTATCCTCCCTCCTGCAGAGCTTCCGTTGCTCCGACGAGTCTGTGAGAATCATGGCGCTAAGGATCAACGGCAGGCTGCTAGAGTTTCTCTTCCGCAGCGGGAGCATCGACAGATTTTTCTGCAGCGTCCGGAGGAACGACATGGACATTGACAAGGACTTGGAGGAGGAGGAGGAGGAGGAGGAGGCGGACTCAAGTGTCTCCTCGCACCATCGTCTTCAGTGCAAGTTCCGAACGAGCTTTCAGATCCTCAGGAGGGCCTTGCGCGACAGATCATCTTCGGTGAAACAGGACGCGGTCCATCAATGCCAGCTCCTTCACAAGAAGTTTCAGTTTTCTCCCTCGTGGCTGCTCTCCGACCTGCAAGCTCTTATCCAGGACAAGAGCGAGCATGTCCGAACGGCGGCCCTGCATTGCCTCGCCTCCCTCTGCCCCAGCAACAGGCTGCACAAGTTCCTGGCGAGGGAGGAGGGGCGCCTGCAGGTAGGGATCAGGATCGGAGTAGAGAGTTTGACCTCGTTCAGGGGTCAGGCTTGCCTGTCCCGCATGTTCGTTACCCTTAGCCGACTCAACCGCCTCCCTCCCCTCCAGGTGGACCTGCACCAGTGGCATCCTCCTCTCATCTGGACGTGGGAGGAGGTCGGCAGGACTGGATGGATCGCTGAGAGGGGGCACGAGCGCAAGAACTTTGTCAACCTCCACGTTGAGGAGGAAGGAGTGAGAGCAGAACATGCCCTCGACGTCTCCTACTCCTCCCTCCTCCTCCACGGGCTCGAAGACAGGCTGTGGGTCCGATGCTGGGAGCAGCCGAACCAGCGGCTTCCTCCCGAGCTGGTGGGGGAGGCGAACGTGCCTGCGCATGCGCTTCTGCGGGTAGACAAGCACAGGATAGAGGCGAGGGGAGCCAGGATCAGCCTACTCGTGCAATGCCGAAAGATCCTCTCCAGCACCATGGCGAGCGAGTGGGGCAGCGCGAACTTGTTCTTCGTGATCCGAGGAGGCGCAGCATCGTGCGTGCTGTACGCGTCGGAGGTGCGGAGGAAGGAGGAGGAGGTCGAGTTCAGCCCAGTCTCGCTGTCGTTGGAGCGCTTGTCGCCTTCAGATTCCTTGAAGCGGCCATGGACGGAGAATTACTTGTCTTCTCTCCTCCTCGAGCTCTGGGACTGGGACGTCAGTCGCCAGCATCGCTTCCTAGGGAGCTGCGAGATGCCTCTGGACGAGCTTCACAGGCTGTCGCAGGAGCTGGTGGCGTACGAGAGCGCGGTGGAGGAGGAGAAGATGGCGATGGAGGAGGAGGAGAGGAGGAGGGCAAGGGAGACCGGAAGAGGAGGGAGGGAGGGAGGGATCGTTCCGATGGAGCAGAGGAGGAGCAAGGAGTTTGTGAAGCCGAAGCTTGACTTCTCCCTTCGAAATTTCCAGCTGGAAACTGTCGGACTCTGTGAGGTGGCCGAGGTGGAGCTGACGTGCCCAGAGCAGTGGCATGCTCCTCTCTCCCGCGCCCCCTACAAGGACAGAGACGGCGGCCTGCTCTTCATCCACCAAGTCGCCTTCTCCTCCGATCCCCCTGCCCCCATCTCCTCCCCTGCCCCTCCCTGCGAGGACGAGGAGCGGAGGCTAAGGGAGCTCTACAGCAGCGAGCGAGCTGCCTCGCCGGTCGGCGTCCTCAACGTCCTGGGAGTGGAGGGGGACGGGAACTCCTTCGACTCTGCCGACCCCAGCTGGAGGGTAAGGCAAGCGGCTGTTCGCGTCCTGTCGGAGCTCTCGAGCACCGGGGAGGAGGCGACTGCAGCTGGGCTGCTGTCGGGGTGTGCGGATCAGGATGCCGAGGTCCGCGCCCTTGCAGTGGAGGGCTACAGCAGGAGGCGGTTCCCTGCTGACAGGGACGCCGTCGAGGAGCTGATCCGACAGGTGCGGTCCGGTCAGTACCTGGAGAAGAACAACTTGGAGCTGGCGGACCGTGAATGGAGGAAGGTGAGGGAACGTGCGCTCCTGTCTCTCCCCCGCCATGCGAGCAGGGGGAAAGTTTCCATCCTTCTCAGCTCGGGCAGGAAGTGCGCGCTGTCCATCGAGAGGAGGGCCAAGGAAGAGAAGATGGCGATTTCTCAGCTCACGGGGGAGCTGGAGGAGGTGAACGAGGAGCTGGAGCGGCACGTGGCGAAGGAGAGAGGAGAGGAGTGGGAGAGGAAGATGAAGAGGCTGCTGAAGAGGAAGGCTGTCACGGAGAGAGAGATTGAGTCTTCCCAGCTCTCCCTCGCCTGGCTTCTAGCAGACCTCGAGAGGACGTGGCAGGGTGTCAGGCGCCAGCGCCACCGGCTCTTCCTCCTCACCAGAGCTCTAGAGCTCGAGGCCTCGGGCGGGCCCAGCAGCGATGTTGACCAACTTCTCGTCTCCTCCTCAGAGGATCAGTTGGAGTGGCCGAGGGACTGGCATCCTCCCCTCCTGCTCCCCCGCCCTCCCCGAGCGAGGGGGAAGACGCTCTTCTTCTTCCGCTTCCTCTCCGAGCTGGAGGATCTTTGCGGCTTCGAGTTCCTCCTCCCCCACAGGTGGGAGCAGCTGCAGTTGTTGGAGCAGATGGAGGAGGAGACTCGGCTGGCCAGCTTCTCCTACTTCTCGCACTGCTTCGCATGGAACGCCACGTGGCTCCCTGGCATCCAGCTCGGGTACGGCAAACCCTCCACTCCCTCCCTCCCTCTCAGCACTTTTCCTGCCCTTCCCCTCTCCTCCGTCCTCTCCCTTCCCTTCTCGCACTTCCCTTCCCCTCCCCTCCCTCTTCCCTTCCCTCCTCTCCCTACCTCTTCTGCCACCCCTCTTGCCCCTCTAGCTGAGCTGCAGCTGGCAGGAGCTCGGGGTCTCTCGCACCTGGGGAGGTACTGGAGGGGGAGCTGGTGACTTGCTGCCTGTGGTGTCCTCCGTTCGAGAGGCCGTGGAAGGGCGGGAAGGACGTCTGGGATAGCAGCCTCATGTGGAACAGTGCTGGGTTCCAGCTGGGGGAGGTCTCTGCTGCTCTAGAGCTGCTCACATTTCAGGATCAAGAGCTTCAAGGGAAAATCGCGGTGGTCGCCTTGGTGAGAGGAGAGGAGGGGGAGCGTACGGGGATGGGAGGGAGGGAGGAGGAAGGGGCGGGTGGGAGTAGGGAGGAGACAGGAGGGAGAGTAACTAGGAGGGAGCATGAAGCAGGAGGAGGGAGGAGGATAAGCAGGATGAAGACAGAGGACGTGGAGGCTGACGTGATGGCTGCTGGGCTGGTGACGAGTGGCTGTGTCAGAGGACAAGGGATGCGGATGCGGAGCTGGTCAGCCAGATCGTCACGAAGGCCAAAAGGAAGAAGGCAAGAGGAGTCGTGCTGATCTCGCTGGAGGAGGAGAGCTTCCAGGGGAGGTTCTCAGTGGTGCAGAGCACCGAGACTATTCCCATCCTCTGCGTCAGCCGGGAGGAGGAACGACCTGCCGTGCTGCTGCTGCTGCCTGGTGACGCTGGTGGCAGGCGGAGGATTTCTTCGACCACGCGTGGATGTCTGCCTCCCTAGAGAGTGACGACGAAATCTTCGATGCGGTCATGCTCCCTCTCCTCTCCTACTCCCTCCTTCCCTCCCTCCTCCCTCCCTCCCCTTCTTCCTTGCCCCCTCCCTCCCTCCCTCCCTTCCGTTCCCTCCACTCTCTCCCTTCCCACCCTTTCCTTCTTCCATCCCTCCTGCTCTCTCAAACTCCTCTCAGGTCGTCGCTGCTCTACAAGATCCGCACGAGCAGGTCCGATCGACCGCATGCCAGGCGCTGGGCAACATATCGCAGTATCCGAGCGGCAAGGGGAGGTGGAGCAGAGGAAGTGTCGTTGTCCTCCATCACCTCTGCGAGTTGCTCCTGCAGGTGAGGAGAAAGAATTTTCTCTCTCCCCCTGTCTTGCTCAGTCTGCTGTCAGGACCCTTCCCCTCTCGTCAGAGCAAGCTGCGTGAAAGCCATTTCCATGCTAGGTACTTGATCCTTCTAGGGAGAGGAAGAGGAAGAGGAAGAGGAAGAGGAAGAGGAAGAGGAGGAAGTGTTGGCAGGGTCCGTGATAACAGAGAGGAGGAGGAGGAGGAGGAGGAGGAGGAGGAGGAGGAGGAGGAGGAGGAGAGGGTTACGAGGGGGATAACACAGCTACTTGCTTCTTTGTTTCCTGCTGTTCTGCTGTCAGACCACAACAGGAGACAGTTGACACTCCCTCTACCCGCAGGTCCATCAAGAAATGCAGAGGTTGCAGCAGCTGTCATGAGAGCAGTCAAGAGAGAGAAGGAAGGTTTTCTACACGAGCAGCTCTTGAAGCTGCTGTCCAGCACTATCTCCCCGGGCGAAGAGGTATCCTTCAAGACACCTAGTCCTCCTTCGTACCCTCCTGATTACTCCTCTTCCTCCTCCACCACCTGCCTGCCTGCACCTCCTTCCCTTCGTTCACTCTCTCCTCCTCCTCCTACTCCCACTCCTCCTCCTCCTCCTCCTACTCCTTCCCTGCATGTCTTATCCTTCTCATCTCATCATCATGCACTCTGTTTCTTCTCATCTTCTCCCATGTTTTCCTCTCTTTCAACTTTCTTCTGATTCTCAACTTTCAAGGATGTCCATCTCAACGAGCAGGCGGCGAGGGCCAAGGAAGCGCATCATGGCGCCCTCTTGTCTCGTCACCAGGCGGCAAGCGTCCTCTCAGGTGAGACGAGGACGAGGGCGAGGGCGAGGACGAGGACGAGGACGAGGACGAGGTTTAGAGGGAGGAGGGGGGGAACAGGTAGAGGATCACTAGGACTAGGGTGAGGACGAGAGGGGTGGGGATAGTGGGATGGAATTGCGAATGGGTGGGGAGAGGAAAGGATGGAATTATCTTCCTGCAAGTAGTTGTTCTTTCACATCTGAAGCTCTCTTCAGATCTCCTGTTCAACAACATCGACTTGCAAATCGCTCGCCAGAGAACTTTCGACATCTATTGGACCATGTCTTCCAACCCGAGATTGACTTGCACATGGCCCGCGCACAAGTTCCAACTCAATAAGGTCCTTTTTTCCTCCCCTCTCCTCCTCCCTCCCTCCTCCTCCCTCTCCTGCCTCCTCCACCCTGCTTCTGCCTGCTCCTCCTGCTCCTTCTTCATGCCTGCTCCTCCTCTTCCACATCGGGCTGTCCTTTCCACTTGCTCCTGCTCCTGCTCTTCCTCGACGTCATTTCCGCCTCTCGCCTTCTCTCTCTACTCTGATCATCATTCGAGCAGGGGAAGAAGGAAGATAGTGAGACCCTCTCTGCTCCTTCCTTCCTCTCCCCGGAGTTACTCGCCTGGGCCGGCTGGTTCTTCTCGCCCGACGAGGACGCGTACGACCGTTGCTGCTGCTTCTGCTGCGGAGCATGGAAGAGCGACTGGAGGAGAGCCGATGACCCGCTCAGCTTCCACGAGCAGAGCTGCTTGTACAAGGTACGGGGATTGAAGGAGATGGTGAAGAGAGGAGGAGGAGGAGAGGCAGGAAGGAGGACAAGGGGGGAAGAAGGAGGAAGGGAGAATTGTACGTATGAAGTCAGAGAGCGAAGAACCTGAAGGAAGTTGGGAGTTGAAAGATGGGCATGATGGAGCGAGGAGGAGAAAATGGAAAGAAGAACAAGGATAGAAGGACAAAGGGATCATTGGAGAGTGGCGGAAAGAGGGAGAGGAAGAAGAGGAAGAGGACGAGCACAAGGAGGAGGGAAAAGAGGAGGAATGAATTCTTCGGCATAACTCCTTGGCAGATCTGTGCTTTGCCATATGCGGACGAGAGGTTCTTGCAGGTGCCTCCTCCTCGCGATTCGCAGAGAAAGCTTGCGAGCAAGAGCACCTGTAAGATGAACTGGAGAATCAAGGTGAGAGGGGCAGAGGGAGGGGAGGCGGAGAAGGCGTTGGAAAGGAGAGGAGGACGAGGAAAGGAGCAAAGGGATGGGAACAGAGAGGAAGAGGAAGCGATGGTTGTTGACTCTGCTCTTGTAAGATCCCTACCTCCCTCGAGCTCCAGCTCGGGCTCCCGGAGGTTGGAAAACTCGCGGGGGCAGTGGAAGCCTCCTCCCTAGAGTTGGAATATCATTCAGCGATCCTCCGATCCAACGAAGAGAAGGTTGTTCCCTCCCTCCTACTTGACCTCCTCTAACTCCTCGACCTGCTCCCTCTCGACTGTCTCCTCGTCTTCCTCCGCTTCCTGCTCCTCCTCCACCACCACTTCTCCTTCTCCTCCTGCTTTCATATGAGTTCACCTGAGCTTCTTCATCAGATGAAGGTCAACGTCGACCTAGCTCTAGAAGTAGCACAAGCTGCCTTTGGTCTGCTCGGCCGTGTGCAGGAAGAGAGCGCCTTGCTGGCCTTGAACATGTACGTCCAGTCAGGATGCGCAGAGCAGGACGGTAAGACCTTCTCTCCCTCCCTCTTCCTTGTCCTTGTCCTTCTCCTCCTCCTCCTCCTCCTCCTCCTCCTCCTCCTCCTCCTCCTCCCCTTCCTCCCACTCCTCCTCCTGACTCTCCTCCTGACTCTCCTCCCTCTCCCTCCTCTCACTTGCCCTGCAGTCATCGAAGACGACGACGAGGCGTCCTTGCCGTCTCTACCCAGCGGTCAAGTTGGCAGCAGTGAGCGGTTTCTCCTGACTCTCTTCTTCTAGGGGCCAAGGTGGTGGAGGGCGTGCGAGCGGGAGTGCAGAAAGAATGGCTGGCTGTTCGCCGGTCGATGCTCAGCCTCGGCCAGGGGAGGAGGAGGAAGCTGATACGAGCCATCGCTGACTATGCACGATGACTTTGATACTGCGCTTTGACTTCGCAAAGACTCCTGTGATGTGATGTGATGTGATGTGATGTGATGTGATATGATGTGATGTGATGTGATGTGATGTGATTTGAACATGATACCGTCAGTACGACATCAGTACCATGTGATGTATATTCTGTAGCCTACTTGAGAAGCGATGTAAAGTGATGTACAGGAGCTCTCAATCGTCGGAATGTATTTACACAAACAGAGGATGATATCATTGCTCTGCCTCTTCCGTCCTGGCACAGCGTCCAATCCTCTTCGCACACATCGCAAGCCTTTCACTTCCTCCTCCTCACCAGTCCGTTCCCTGCCCAACAAGTTGTCAGCTCTAGCTACCGCGCAGCTCGAGGGCTCACAGCATCAAGGGAGTGGACCCAGGCGTCGAGCTCCTTGGCCGAAGGCTTCACCCCGTTGTTGAGCTCCGCGATCGTCTCGGCCATGAGAATTCTCGTTCCGTTGTGCAGCTTCTCGATCGACCTGGCATGCAGTTGGGTCAGAGGCAGGGCGGAGTGAGGTCATGGAGCAGCGGCACCTCTTGATGTTCTCCTGCTCCAGCCTGTTGTCAGGGCAGCGGAACGGGACACCCTCCTCGGACATCTTCCAATGTCCCTTGCCTCCCTTCTCCAGCGATGCATTTTCTAGCTCGAGCTTCTTTAGGATGGAATTCAATGCGCGAATGTTGGCACTGGCGGAACTGTAGATAGTCCTCTTGGGGACAGTGTAGAGAGTTTTCTGAACGAAACGAGAGAGCATGTCTCAATGTTTGTTTGTCACGGAAAAGATTGTTTGTTGAATGCTTGTCTGAGCTCTGTGTCAAAACTGCGCAAAGGAAATGTCAATGTTTCAAAGAGGATCGAGAGGCTGGCAGAGAGACGCATCGCGTGCTATCAGAGACTTGGACTCGAGCAGCAATGTGCGCACAATGTTTGAAGATGCAGATGGAAAAACAGAGCAGCACAAAACAAGAGCAGAACAGCGGGGGAGGAGCTTCGAAAGAATTCACACGAAAAGAGTCATTCCAAGAAGTGTTTGCGTGAGCAGTGGAATGAGAAAGAGGCACTGCTCAGGTCATCATAGTCATGGAGTCAAGCTCGGGTATAAGAACAGAACCAGGAGCAGATGACACCAAGGATGTGGAACAAGAGGACCGAGGAACGAGAATTCTGCCAGCAATGAGACAAACAAAACTGTGTTTAAGGAGAGGACAGAACCGGACAGAAAGTGTTTGAGGTGTGAATAGAGGACATGAGGAGCATGAGGAAGAAGATTCGAAGGTGGAGGAAACGAGGAAGAGAGGGAGGGAGAGAGGAGAGGAAAGGAGGAGATGAAGGCGCAAGGGAAAATGGGAGGTGCATGGTAGAGTTTGCTGCGATCTTTACTATCAAAAAAAAAGGTTAATAAGGGGATTAAAAATGATTTAAAAGGATTTTGGTACTAGTTGAGACGGGCGCTTCTCTTTCCCCATACAAGAAGCATTCTAAAAGTTTTAAACAGCCGCCTTTCTTTATGAAAAATAATAGATAAATTGTCAGCACTACCAGGATGACCTCGATTTTAAAACAAAAGTTTTTTGGTTCCGGGGATGTTTATAAAACTTTTACATCGTTCTGTAGACTCTGATAGTACTCGCAATTAATTTAATCTAAAATCTGTATGAGGATCCTCTAATATTTAGAGAAATTTGAACCATGATTATATTAAGTATATTTGTTAATACAAAGATGCAACCCCTTTTGTACCACACAGAACCACGTACTTCAAACTTCGTACAAAAGCAAAACGATCTGAGTCTCCCGACGGTCTGACGGCTGGTCGGATAAGCTAGCTGGAGGGCCCGGACAGACCCGTTGCCAAGTTGCAGCCGTCTGGCCCGACCCGGCGGGGGCCCATCGTGACTAATCAGTCATGCCATAACCTCGATCTCCTGAGCAGGATCCATGATCCGGTCCTCCACTTACTCGTCAGTCAAGTTCCGACTCCGTTCGCTGCCATCATCGCGGGTGCGTTCCAGAATGCCGCAGTGCGTCTCATTCCTTCAGCGGCGGCCCATGGCGACATCGCTGGCAGGTTTGGGGGACACTGCGGCAGTGGGCAGTATGTGAGGGTTGGTTCGAGTCACTGTCAGGGGCAAGCCTGCTTGTCCTCTTACTGATTTTTAACTTAACTTTAAGTAAAAGGCTGAGGGCGTTATGGGAAACCCATACCAACTATATTACTCAACTAAAAGATGACAACTTTGACGTCCGTTGACCTTCACAGCACGCACACAATGAGCAGCAGCAGCGGGTCCAGGTGACCGAGACATAGCTCCTGCCCTCCTGCCCTCCTGCCCTCCTGCCCTCCTGCTCGGCTCCTCCTGCTTCCTCTGCTCGTCACTCCTGCTTCTCTTGACCACAAGCTATCCCACAAGCTATTGCACTGTTGATTGTTAACACGGTTTGTTTTCAATACTCGAAGCTCGGACGACTCACCCGGGTTCGCATTCAATGAAAGAGATCATGACATTGCTCAGGCGATGAGGTTTGTTGAGCTGTGACAGCATCGTCGGGGACCCTGACTGCATGCCAGCCTGGGAGGGAATTTCTTACTGGAGAACGACATTCGGAGTGTCTTCAAGCAGGTTCAAGTGCACTTGAGACTTCTCGTTTTCACCTCCTGGCATCAGTTGGACGTTGACGGCAACGGATACATCGGTAAGGATGATGAAATTCTGGAAGGGGACGAATCCTGGTCGACCCCTTCCCGCCACTATCTCTGACGGTGACCTCCGTCTCCTCGCTCCCTCCAGGAGCACCAGACCTAGTAAAGGTGCTCAAAGGCATCGGGGAGGAAGGAGACGACGAACTTGTCGACGCTATGCTGTCGAGCGTCGACGTTGATGGTGCGGAGCCTGAGCACGGCCATGAAAGATGCGCATATTCCAGTGAGAGGCATGCAGGGGATGGTCAGATCAGTTATGCGGAGTTCCGAGGTCTTGTGAAACTACTCGAGCAGGAGAGAGGAGGGTGAGATCTAAATGCTTGTCTGGTCTTGTTCTGACTTCTTCTTTCCTCTCACGTCCCCCTTGCATGATCCTTTCACTCCATATCTCTCTCATCTCTTTTATCTCCTCTCCTCTCCATTTCCTTCAGTTTGCGACCGAAAGGTTACGAGCCCAGAAGGGAGCTGATGCAAGGTGACATTCCTGCTGCGTCGGTGAAGTCAAGGCAAGGTAGTTTGACTTGTTGTTGTCTGTCTGTGTTGTTCCTCAACAGTATTTCAGGTAGGAGAAAGAGTGAAGATGATGATTCGTCAGGGACAGGAACAGACTCTGATAGCAACTGAGATTCTTATTCACTTCCATGGGCTGAAAGCTGTCGGGCGGAGAAACTGCTCAGACAAGATGAGTGGTTCAATGGCCATCTCATAAGTTTCTCTCTACCTGATTGTCGAAAGAGTTCGCAATCTCTGCAATTCTTACACGATGTCACTTGTACAGTAAGGCGAGCATGTCATCAGAATTACTCGGCTATGGATTTCTTCCATCCCTCGGCATTTCTTGACGCCTGCGGACTCTGAGTTGGCTCTGTTGCCATGCCGCTCCTCCTCCTCGTTTTCTTCCTCTCCTCACCTTCCTCGAATCTTGGCTGCGCTCGATCGACTCATGTCTCCAAAGTTCCAGCACCTGCACCAGCCAAGCGCAACAGCAACTCAGTCAGGATATGATACGTCCTTTTCCTAATCGTCCTCACAGTGTTGAGCGTTCCACAATCGCTGTAGAGGAGCGTCACCAGCGTGCTCGCCCCAGAATCATCCGCATCTTGACAAGCATGGCTGAATGAGTCTTGGACACAGAGGGCGGGTGATTCAACTCACTCAGCTTGTCAGGCAGCCCGCAACCTGATTGACAACCCAGTCATGTGCGTTGTGACTCCAAAGCTAGCGCGCCACATCACCGTAGCTTTTGAGGAACTGGGGAACGATGTGATATCCGAGCTTGAGCTGGTATCGACGAAGTTCGTAGCTCACAAGTGACTGCACAATACAGGTGAGGATGCCAGAAGGGTCCGACAGGCCTCAGGCGCATGCACCTTGGATGCTGGGCTCTCATAGTCCACAGCTCCTTTCAACCCAACGTCCTTCGCTGCTGCTTCAGAACGAGCGCATGAACGAGATGAAATCGTCAGACCTTCAGTATGTCCGTGGCCTCGAGGAACACCATGTTGTTCTGCTCGATCATGAAAGGCTTCACCTTGTTGAGGTACGCTTTCCATGCATCACTGCACTCGTGATCTTCAACCGAACAACACTGGTGTACATAGTGACTTTACTTTGACGCGACCTTCGCGCGAATCTGGTCTCTTGTCTCATAATCTTGATACCAGTACATGTGAAACATCCGATTCAAGTTTCCTTTGTATTGACAGTGAGCAAATAATGAGAGGAGCAGACAAGGGGAGGTGTGGGGAAGGAGAAGTGTAGGGGAGGAGAGGTGTGAAGAACGAGCAGGAGCGAGAAGGGGAGGTGTAGAGAAGGAGAGGGAGCTAGATGGAAAGGAGGAGGCAGAGGGCAGGAGACGAGGAGAAGCAGGTGAGGAGGACGACAGTGGCTGCACATCTTGTACCTCCAATCTCAGTCGTGAAAAATCCCAGCCACTTCGAGCCGCTGCTGGCAAACAGCTCCTTGCGAACACTGATATTGCTTTCAGGTCAAATGAGAGGAGCCGCAGTTAAGATCACTTTGAAGCCTGGCTCGTCTCATGGAGGTAATCCTATCAAAGGAGAAGATGAGGGAGCAGCGAGCAAGAGCTGAGCTAGCAGTGGTTTCAACCTTGAGGCCCGATGGAGCTATGTCATACTGCCGCAACTCGATGAAACCTTTCTGACGGGGCAAAGACTGTCAGATGAGAGGAGCAGCGAAGCTGCTTGCCTTTGCAGAGCCCGAGGAGAAGAATTTCTTTGTGCACTTCAAGCCCAACGAGCTTCTTGCTCTGCAGGAAGCAATGGATCTGGCGACAGACATGCCTGCGGGTAGTTTGTAAGGAACATGATATACGAAGCCGCTGTAAATATCCTCATGTGTCTTGCCTCTCTCTCCGCTCGACTTCTTCCCTCTTCTACATGTCTCCTGTCTCTGGATTCAATCCTCCTCTTCCTCCTCCTCTTCCTCCTCCCCTTTCTCTTCCTCCGCGTCCTTCTCCTTCTCCTGGCCCTCATACTCATTCTCGCAGCCATGTAGATCTTTGTGGATCTTTATAGACTGAAACGGAAGAGGCAAACCGGAGCAGACGCAAGAGGAAAGGAAATACCAACTAATTCGCCTCAACAGAATACTAGGCAAAGGAGGAGGCAGCGAAAACCTCTGCTACAACCACACGATCGGCAGCATGCACGACAAGCAGGGGAACAAGCATCACGATCAGTACATTCCTGCCCAGGAGGACACCCTTTCGTGAAGCAGGGTGGGGTGTCATTGTTGACCCAGAGGGTGGGTACTTTAGAAGAGAAAATATGGGGTAGTGAAACGGAAAATTATATTTCTTGGGGTGGGCTTGAAGGGGGGTCACGGTAATTACGAAATCGGTCGTATGACGATGGCGATGTGGCAGAGAGCAGAGGGGGAGGAGGAGGAGGAGGATGGGAGGGAGAGGAGAGGGCAAGTGCGAGAGGATAGAACATGATCAGGAGGAAAGATGAATAGAGGACGAATACAAGAAGAGGAGGATAAATATTCAGGGGAGGTTCGCATGCTGATCAGGTGCAAGAAGTTACATGGTGGAGAGTGCGCAAAGAGCGAGGTCGAATGAAACCAAACAGATCCCTCGTGTGATGTTTCGTTCTTAACTCCTCGTCCAAGTGAAGAGAACTTCTATCACTGCAACAACAACATTCATCCATTCTTGACCTCTGGATTCTGCTTGACGTCTGCTCAACAGATAGGGTGACATATCCCGGTGCCTTTCAAGGGATTTTTTTGGAGATTTTTGTCGGTCGACGAGTCGAGAGCGGGATGGTAATCATATCAATCACCAACATGAGAACGTGTCCTCCATCTTCATGATCTTTCGGCTGTGTCTTTCTCCACTCACATTGCAAATCAGGGAAACTCTTCAGTTTTCCAACCTGGAACGGCGCTGACACTTTTCATGTCAATCTTGTTCTGGGTGAGAGTTGAATCTCGCCCTCCTTCTCTCCTCCTCCTCTCCTCCTCCTCCTCCTCTTCCTCCTTCTCTCCTCCTCCTCTTCCTCCTCTTCCTCCTCTTCTCCTCCTCCTCCTTGCGTTCTCCTCCTCTTCATCGCCTTCACCATGGTCTTCGTTTTTCACAAGCGGCCAGGGCTACGTTGTCTTTCATACTATCTTTATCGGTTTTCCCATCGCAGTCCTCATTCGGTGACATGGAGGGAGAGTTAACTTGTTTCACAACTCACCCTTTCTCCTGCTCGCAGTCTCTTGCATCTGTTCTATGATCGGGAGAGAAGGGTCCTCCTGGTGCTGTTGCTTCAGATCCTTTAGACATGTTATAAGACTACTTGCAGCATTGGTGGACGACACAATGGGCGTACCACTACCATCACTGGAATCCGTTTTGTCAGACGACGGTGTGTTGTTTTGCTCAAGTCTTGCGATGGTTGCTGACAGTGTGCTGTAAAGATCTTGGGGAGAGAAAACATCAAGAAAGTGAGAGACAACGCTGTTATCTTTGTTTGCAACCATCAGGTGAAGTTGAAAGCTCACTGGGAGGCGGTTCTGAGCGGAGGTTGCAGAGCACAACGGACATAATGTTGTTGTATGGGATAGAAACACATTTCAAGTGGGTAAGGTGAGAACCTTGCTCGCGTCTGAAGACAGGCAGGTTGATTTCATTGTTGATTTCGTTTTGTTTTCTCTCATGCAGCAAGAGCTCAAACTTCATGATACCCTTCATCGGATGGAATATGTGTAAGTTACAATCGACCCTCAGCTTCTCCGCCCTGAACGCGTGTTGTGTGCAGGGATGAACGACTATGTTCCTGTGAAACGAGGGGACAAGGACAGTGTACACAAGTAGGGAGAGTGAGCATGAACGCTTGTCTGAACTGAGACATGCTGCAGAATGTTTGAGCATTGCAAGAAACATCTCAAGGCGGGAAACTCGTTGGTGTTCTTCCCTGAAGGATCCAGAAGTAATGCTAAAGAAATCATTGGCAATATTGTTCGTCCTTGACATCCTCTTCTTCTTCCTCTTCCTCTCCTTCTTCCTCCTCTTCTTCTGTTCTGTTGTTGTTCAGGTACGGATGGACAGATCAAAGCTTTCAAGCCCGGAGCTTTTAGGTAAGACTCATCGATGCTCTATGTGTGCAAACTTGTTCTTTCGTTGATTTTGAATTTTTCCTCCTCCTCTTCTTCTGTAATGTCTTTTGATATTGACCGTTGTCTTACAGCCTGGCTATGGAAGCAAAAGTTCCGATTGTTCCTTTGGTACCACAAACTTCGCTTCTTGCTCAATCTCCCTCTGCGCTGCTTGTTACCCCTACCCCTTCCATCTCTCCCATTCACAACCCCAGCTCCTCCTTTCAAATCTATTCCTTCCCTTGCTCTCTCTCTCTCGGCTCCCTCTCCCTCTCGCTCTCCCTCTCGCCAGCCCTCTCCCTCTCCCTCTCCCTCTCCCTCTCCCTCCCCTTCCCCTTTCCCTTCTCCTTCCTCTTGCCTCTTCCTGCTCTTCCTTCTCTTCATCTGGTTGGTTTCGCGATGATAGGATCATATGATGACAACTCTTACTTTGTTGCACTGTGCTGACGTCATCAACTCCAGGTGCTCGACGGGTCTGCTGATTGCCTCACTGCGGGAAAGGTCTTTCACCCCGCGACGATGCAGAGGGCTGACCATGGCAATCAGGGAATGACAGTTGCGATCTACAACGGGGGAGGTTGGAACATAACCTTGAAGGTTCAAGTTGCAAGTTATAACTGTGTGAGATAATTTGACTTGAGAGTAACAGGCGTTGGAGCCGATTTATCCAGACAAATTTGGGAATTCTGTTGAGGTAAGGATGGATGGTTGAGAAACTTTTTATCCGAGAAGATGTCTGTTTGTGTGTGATGTTATCGTGGATGGATCAGATGTGATATGTCATGTCAATGGATTGATGGGATTGTTGTGTAGAGTGAACGCAAGCTTGTTTTTATGAGATGTCCAGCGTGATGGGAGAGGGATTTTGTTATGCACCTTTAACCTGCCTTGACATGTCTTGCAGTCGCTGATGGAGAAAGTTCGAAACATCATGGTGGAAGACTTTGAAAAGATCAAGAGCGACAACATAGCAAAGGGCAAGAAGGTGAATCATCTTCATTATTCCCTTCTTTTTCGATCTATATCTACTTGACGTATTACGTGACAGTCTTGTTATTTTGACAGTCAACAAGCAAGAAGTTGCGATGAGACAGTCCCTCTCTATCAAGAAGAAAGAACATGACGATGGCGGAGACAATGATAATGATGATAATGACAACGACGACTATGACGACGACGACGATGATGATGATGCCGATATTCCTGCCAACATTTTCTGTTCCTTCTGTTAGAAGACCTTGAAGACATTTTATTCTTTTCTCCCTATGAAAGTGAACGCCTTGTATCTGAACCATCTCCTCGCTTCGGAAATCAACCTTTTAATGAAGAGCATGACAAAGTATGCAAACGAGAACTCACAACAACTCACAGAACTCTTCACTCCCCCCACAACACATTCATCCTTGATTCATCCTGTTCTGTCTTTCTTACATCTCACATACCTCACTTCTCAACATCTCTACCTCCAACAAATCCAACACCTGCAGCTCTCAACACATCGAACAACTTTATTACTCTCTTACATTCATACCTCATCTCGCCTATAATACACACTCACATCATTGAGCTGATTGCATCTTCCCAGAACGTTTCCTCTCCCCGTAGAAGGTTCAACATCCCGCTCCACATCTTCCTCAGCTTCCTCCTCCTCGTCCAGTAGCTCCACGACGTCACCTGTCCCATCCTCCTCCATGCAGCCTTCAGTCGTTCCTCCAGACCCGCTGCGCCTGTTTCTTCTGCAGCTCCAGCTCCAGCTCCAGCTCCAGCTCCAGCTCCTGGTGCTGCTCCGGCCCCCACATTTCCACTTTCGCCGCTCTCCTCTCCTGTATTTGCCGTCGTTTTCACGGCAAACGATCCTCCTCCTTTAGAATCACCGTTGCTACTGATCTCCCTTCCTGCTCCTGCTCCTGCTCCTGCTCCTGCTCCTGCTCCTGCTCCTCCATATCCGTTGCTTTGCGGGCGCATCAAGGGTCTTGTCTGTTTGCTCTCGTCGCTCCAGTATCCGCCGTTGAGAAGCTTCATGACGGGCAGGCAGGAGATCGTCTGAACCCCCTCCTCTGCCTCCTTCCTGCTCTTGGTTGGTTCCTCCTCCGCGTTTCCATGAACTCGCTCCTGTTCCTTCTCCTCCCTCTTCTCTTCTCCCTCCTCCTTTCTCCTCTCCTCTTCTTTCTCCTCCTTCTCCTCCCTCCCCTCCTCCTCCATTCTCCTCCGATTTTTCTCCGTGGGTTCCGTCTCTCCCTGCTCCTTCTCCACCTTTCCCTCCCCTTCTTCCTCTGCTGTCTCTCTGTCAACCTTCTCCCCCTCCGGTACGGTATCGTTCCTTTTTCCCACCGTCCCCTGCCAGTCCTTCTCCTCTGCTGCGTCCTCTTGCAAAACGATCACGGACCCCTTTTGTATTTCCTCTTCCTCCTTCACTGTCCCCTCCACCTGCTCCTGCTCCTGCTCCTGCTCCTGCTCCTGCTGCTCCTGCTCCTGCTCCATCTCTTGTACCTGCTCCTGCTCCTGCTCTGGCTCCTGCTCCTGCTTCTCATGCTCCGGCTCCGGCTCCTGCTCCTGCTCCTGCTTCTCCTGCTCCGGCTCCGGCTGCTCCTGCTCCTGCTTCGGCTCCGGCTTCGGCTCCGGCTTCGGCTCCGGCTCCGGCCTCTCCTTCTCCCGCTCCTGCTCCTGCTCCTGCTCCTGCTCCTGCTCCTGCACCTGCTCCGGCTCCGGCTCCGGCTCCTTCGTGTCATCCTGCACCCGCACTTTCTCTTGCTCCTTCAAGGATGAAACGTTTTCAACCCTCGTCGTCCTCTCCTCCTCCTTCTCTTCCTCCTCCTCTCCTGCTGTCAAACTCTCCCATTTCCTGTCCTCGCCTTCTTCCCGTCCTTCTATTCCCTCCTCCTCTCTTATCTGCTCCATCTCCTCT